GTCGGGTCCCCCGGGATCTCCTAGGCGGGGTGTGCCGGCCAGCTACGCCAAGTGGAACAGGTGCGACGCCCCCACGTCCCTGGACTCCCATTATCAGCAGGCGGCGCAGGGCACACCTGGAGCCCCGCAACCCTCCATCTGCTCCCTCCCTCTTGTCTGGGCAAAGGGGACTCCCGGGGCCTATTAGCCTCCAGCTGGGCCACACCCTGTTGGTTCTGGGCGCCCACACACCGAAGTGCAGTCTGGGCCACACAGGTTCAAGGATCCCTTAAAGCTTATTGGTGCAGACTGTGAATGTGGGGTGGGGGGATATGTCTGTGGGGATCTGGGACTCAAGCAATTCTGCAGGTTCCTATGACCGGGAAAAGAAAGGATACTGAAGAAACAAAGTGGCTGCTGAGAGATTTCTTAATCTTGACATCCAGAGGAGATCTAGGGATGGGAGGGGATGTTGGTTAGTCAAGGCAGATGGCTGGTGAGCTGGGCCTTCAGCTGAAGACTGCAGAGCCAAAGGCCTGGATCTGAGTAAGGAAGTTGTTGAAAGGAGTGTCTTTCCTCTCTGGAGAGAACCAGGGATCAATCCTCCTTTGCTTTTCTGAGTAGCAGGGACCATGAACGCTGAGGCACTGGGCTAGTGGTCACACTGCCTGCTACCTTTCCAAAGCAAAACCCTTCAAGAAGGCCCAGGATGCCAGGGAGACCCACCTCTGCCCTGCAGGGAGTGTATAGTGTTAGACACTGAAATTACTTGTCCTTAGCTGGGGATGGCTTCAGCTGCCAGCAGCCTGAAACCTCCAGAGAATGCCTACTCATCCAGGGAGGACTGCTGTCCTTTGGCCAGCCTGACCTTATGTGCAGGGGGCAGGAGAAGGCTGGAATCTACAGCAGATGTAACATATCTTGGCAGGACACTCCTCCAGCCTCCTGATCCATTAGGATCAACTCAAATAACATATTGAAGGTTCCTAATCTCAGTAAGGCAAATTTTCCCTCCTTTGGTTCCTAGCATCCCTTGGGTAGGGAAGAGAAAGAGGGCACCCTATCCTCAGGAAAGAAAAAAAAGGACCCATTCATGCCTTTTTATAAATGGTCAGTAATCCTGCCAGGTGAGGGCTACATCATACCCTACACTATATGGCTCCACCACGGCCATACATGGAGCCACGTATTTGAAAGGATACCCTTGGGCCAGTCAAACTACAGCCTTGACCCCACATTCCTGACTCTTCTGGCCCCTGCCCTCCCTAAGGGCCCATGGATGGAGTAGTGCCTACCAAGAACCTAAATCGCTGCTCCTAACCTGGTCCACCTAGTCACAGACGCCTCTGCTGGAGTCCTCCATCCCTTCTAGGGTTCATCCTTTCTTACTGTCTCCACCCTGATGAAAACCTGTCCTTTTAGCTTCGGTAAAATGTCCCACCTCCAAGACCAAGCAAGCCTTGAGGTAGGTAGCCACCAGACCAAGGCAGGTTCCTTGCTTGGCAGGCATCTGAGGTTTCAGGCTGCCCCCACGGCAGGCTATCCCAAGTCACAGCCCGAGAGAGCTCCGTTGACTTGGTCGTGCGTGCGGAAACCTGTGCTCACACGGTTAACCTTAGCGGGAGGGGCCGGCAAGGGGCGGGGCGTCTCCTCTCGGACATCCGCCATGGCCACGGTTACGGGCTGCACACCCCACGGCCGGTCCTCCCGCATGCAGAGGCCACATCTCAGCAAGGTGGGTCCTTGGCCTGTGGGCATAGGGTTTGGCAGGAGGGAGTCGTGGAATGCAGCAGGAGAGGCGGGTAAAGAGCACTGGGGAGACCCGGGAAAGCACTGGGAGTTCAGAATGACAGCACTGGGTGGCCCTGGTCCGGGCCTTTGCTGCTTCAGTTTGTTATCCCCGCACGGTGGCCTGGGGAACCTGAGGGCAACTGCGCCAGATCTGAGTTTTTCCCCCTCCACCTCCCGCGCTCGCTCTCAGATGGAGCGGATGATCGTGAGTATGCAGGACCCTGACCAGGGCGTGAAGATGCGGAGCCAGCGCCTTTTGATCACCGTCATTCCCCACTCGGTAGCGGGTGAGGCTCGTGGACACCCTGGGGGAGCAGGGCGCCGCGGTCTCCGCCCACTTCGCCTCTCCCGTGCAGGCAGAGAAGTCGTGGAATGGCTGGTCCAGAAGTTTTGCATCTCCGAGGAGGGTGAGAGTCAAGGCACACGGCGAATCGGGGAGTGTGGAGGGGGAGGATGGCGGAGCGCTTAGTTTTCGTTCTCGTCAGAGGCCCTGCACCTGGGCACACTCCTGGCGCAGCACGGCTACATCTACCCACTGCGTGAGTCCCGAGACTTGACGCTCCGGCCCGATGACACGCCCTACAGGTTCCAGGTCAGGCCCAGGGTAGCAGGGTGTACAGCCACCAGGGGAGGTGTGGAGCTTACTGGGGTTGGATCGGGGATGTTGAGACATACTAGACAGGACCTGTACCCTCCCCCAAAAGAGCTGGACAGAGGCAAGTCAAGGGAGCTTCAACTTTCTCGGGCTGCGGCAACCATGCGAAGGGCAATGTGTGGAGCATTTAGCTGGAGTCCAGCAGCAGGTCTCAGCCTTGAAAGATAATCTGCTGGTGTTAGGGGCCCTGCACCGCCATCTGTGAGTCCAGGTCACCCCATGCTCAGACCGTGACGACATCCTTGGGTTATCAGGCTCCACTTCTTTCCCAGTCAGCCTGGGGAGGTGTTCAGAGTCACGGAAGCAGTCCCTTTTCAGGACCCCAAGGAACAAAGTGGCCTCAGTTCCAGGTAGAAAGAATGGGCAGTGGTCAGCGGGAGCTTCCAGGTCAGGATGCACTCTCTGACGAGCCATAGCTAGAAACCATGAGATAGTAGGGAGTAACTGGGAGAGAGATGAGAAGGTCTTGGACTTCATTTTCCCTGCACAACACAAGACACCCTACTTCTGGACAAGCACTCTGTGGCCAGCTGCTGAGCTGGACTATGGTGAGTAGGGTGGCTATAAATCCAGTCTGGGAACTGGGTACCAGGGCAGGGCCATAGGGTTTAGACCCTGATGGCTCCTGTGCACTATGTCCCTATCCTTCCAGCCATCTACCTGGCTAAGAAGAACATCCAAAAACAAGGGGCCCTGGTGGACTATGAGAAGGTGGGACCTCCAGAAGACTAAGGACTTCCAGCACAGAGTCACCCCTTGAGCCCACGGCATACAGCTAAGGCCACTAGACAGTGCACCTCTACTCAGCCCCTGCCGACTCACTGGGAAACCCCCATTCCTCTAGGGGAGGCTTAGGGTTCCCAGAAGAGAAGGCAGCCCCAGTTTAAAATTCCCATGGGGTGAGCTGGTTTCTGTACCAGGTGGACGGACACACACACACACACTCACACACACACACACCATTACACTAAATCCCTGCAGTACCCCTGGGAGCTGGGGTCTGTGTTCCAGAGCTAGGCCTGAGTGTGGGTTACCCACTTTACCCACTGGATACCCTGCTGCCCTCCAGGAACATTATGCCCAGCTGCACAAGAAGATCAACCATGCATGGGATCTAGTAGTGATGCAGGCTCGAGAGCAGCTGCGGTGAGACACCAAACCACAGCTAGTGGGACACTGAGCTTGGAATGTTCAGGATGGCGAGCTGGGCACTGGCAGCCCTGGGGCCAAGAACATCATATCCCAGGCTGCACGGCCTGCCCATGGCTATGTGTGGGGATCAGCTTCCTTTCCCCTCTCCCAGGGCAGCAAAGCAGCGCCGGAAGGGAGACAGGCTGGTCATTTCGTGTCAGGAGCAGACATACTGGCTGGTGAACAAGCCCCCTGTGAGTCCTTGTGTGGTAAGGGCAGAGGAGTTCTCCTGGTTGTCAAAAGAGGTCTGTGTATGTTGCTAAAAGGCTCTCTCAAAACTGCTGCTTAAGGATGCAGTGTATTTCAGGGTCTGGGCGGTGACAGGAAGTTTGTTGCATCTTGGTTGAGAATATATAGGTGACATGGTTAGGCCTGAGGCTGCCTCTTGTCCGGACCACAGAACAAGTCAGCTTCAGTAGTGCTTGGGAGACACACAAGGTGGGGCTGAGCCCAGCTGCAGCAGAGGGACTGGGTTTCGGGTGGCAGTGCCTGGGAATCTGGGGTCCTAGCACATGGCTTGAGGTCTGCTTACTATCTGAGGGGATCACCCTGAGTCAGGGTGGGTAGAGAGATGGGATTCAAAACCATGTCTGGACTCAGTTTCCATACCAAAGAGTAAAGGGTATTGAAACCTGTCAGGAGTAGGGGGCTTAGCACCCCATCTCATCCTTCTGCAGCCTGGGGCACCTAACATTCTAGAGCAAGGTCCTGAGAGGGGCTCTTACAACTCCAGCAGAGTACAGATGGTAAGAGCCTCATATTCAGTCCCAGCACCCCCACTCCCTGCTGCTTGAACGCTAACACACGCCCTTCCACTTAACCCACTTCAGAGATCATTGCTCTGCTCATCCATCCGTTTATCCTTTGATCCACCTAAATGGACCTGATGCGGCAATGCCAAGGTCCCTATTTCTCGCTGTGCCTGGTCTCAGTACCGCCTACGTACCACTTCAGGCTACCTTAGTAACTTTGTCCTTCTCCTTTCTCCCACCTGCTGGCTGCCTTGGGTGCAAGTAAGTGGTGGTCCTGGGCGGGGGGGTAGGCTCTTCCTCCAGGCTGAAACAGCATCAGGGTTCCCAGGGAGGTGAAGGGATGACAAGCAAGGCTATGGCTTGGGGAACCTGGGCCCCCAGGCACCTCCCTCCAAAGCCTCTGGTAACATCCAACCTGGAGGAGGTGGGATCCAGCACAGACCACAGACGGGTCCTAACAATGCAGCAGCAGCAGGCAGTGAGGCGTCAGTCACCCCCCACCTAAACCACATTCTAGAGCAGATTCTGTTTTTCACAGCACCTGGCTAACTCAGCCCCTAACCTTTCTTCCATATAAAAGCAGAGAGACTAGGATGAATGTTGGAAGCCAGGGGCATCATCCACCCCAGTCCTGGGCCCAGTGTGGCTAAGAAGTTGGGAATAGTTGGCCAGTCTATTGGATGACTCCTGCAGTCAGCCATACAGAGCTGCCTAGATGTGCCATGACTTAGTCATACCTGGCTCCCCTGAGAGGAGTTTTTTCAGAAAGACTTTAAAGGCCAGGCATGGTGGTATGTGCTGTTACTTTCAGCACTTGAGAAACAGAGGCAAGTGGATCTCTGTGAGTTCAAGGGTAGCCTGGTCTACAGAGTGACAAGCAGGACAACCAGGGCTACATAAAGAGACGCTGTCTCAAAACAAACAGCCAGGCATAATGGCTCACATCTTCAGTCCTTGTACTTGGGAGGCAGAGGCAGGTAGATATCTATGTTCAAGGCCAGCCTGGTCTACAAAGGGAGTTCCAGGACAGTCATGTCAGCCAGGTCTATTACACAGAGAAATCCTGTCTTGAAAAAAACAAACCAAAACAAACAACAAACAAACTAAGCATGATGGTAGACCCCTCTAACCATTGTGCTTGGGAGGTGAAGGCAGAAGGATCAGAAATATAAGGGCATCCTCAACTACATCGTGAGCTCAAGGCCAGCATGAACCGAGGAAAACCCTGTCGCAACAACAAAAATATCTCAAGTCAACAACAAAAATATTATGGCAGGTTAATAACAAGTGAAGACTTTCTAGGTAGCTGGGCTCAGGGTTTGGTAGAGCATCTTCAGAGTCTCTAGATAAAGACTGTCAGAAGCCTCCCCTAGGGCTAGAGCTACGAGAGGGGGACTCCAAAAGTTGGGGGCTGGTCTGAGCCACTCTTTGCTGCATCCTGGTGGGGCAAAGTCTCAGCTCTGGTTGGTGGCATAGGAGAATTCCTGAACCCCAGAAGGCTGCCTTGTAACTCAAGCCTCCCCTGTCTTCCAGACCTAGAGCTCAGATTTCTATAAGTGTGAGGTAAGTCCTAGAAACTTGGGGGGTAGGGATTCCCCTCCCCTACCACAGGCCCTGACTCAGCTCTGGTGTCTTAGATCGAGCGCTTCAGGAAGGCATTGGGCAGGAACCGGGTGAAGTCCTCTGTCTGCCTCGAGGCGTGAGTGAGGGGCGGCAAGAGACCCTCCCAACCCAGACCCTTTATAGAGCTCCTTGTCCTTAAGGCCATCCTGCACTGGTCCCTGGAACCCCCAGGTACCTGAAGTTCAGCAGCCAGCATGGCCCGCACGATCCCATCATGTCAGGGTGCCTGCCCAGCAACCCTTGGATCACAGACGATGTCACCTACTGGGCCATGAATGCACCTACGTAAGCCCTGGGTGTTCGGGCAGTCAGTCACTTCTAGACTGTTAGCAGGATCAGCAGCCCACTCTCTTGTTCTCCTCTCTCCCTTCCCAGGGTGGCTGCCCCCACAAAGCTCCGTGTGGAGCGATGGAGCTTCAGCTTCCGGGAGCTCCTGGATGACCCCGTGGGGCGTGGCCACTTCATGGACTTTCTCCAGAAGGAGTTCAGCGGTGAGGAGCCTACCTTCCTGCTATAGACACCCTCGAGGGAGGGAGGCCACTGCCTGGGACCCTGCCCCAGGCTTTCTCTAGCCTTCTCAGTGGGAGTCCTAGCCCTTATTGCTGCCCTATCCTCAGCGGAAAACCTCAGCTTCTGGGAGGCATGTGAGGAGCTGCGCTTTGGCGGGCAGGCCCAAGTCCCTGCCCTGGTGGATACTGTCTATCAGTAAGTGTGTGGGAGGGGAAGCTAGTTGGCCATCGCTCAGGCCCAGCATGGGCCTGCTCTGTACCATCTGTGTCCCAGGCAGTTCCTGGCCCCCGGAGCTGCCCGCTGGGTCAACATTGACAGTCGGACAATGGAGGGGACCCTGGAGGGGATGCGCCAGCCACACCGCTATGTCCTTGATGCAGCCCAGCTGCATATCTACATGCTCATGAAGAAGGTGGGCACATCCTGGTGTCGCTGCTGTCACAACCCTGCCTACTTTGCTTTCAGTTGTGTTGGTTTTTTATCTATTTTTCTTCATAAGGAGCAAGCACAGCCTCTGCCACTCACTGCCCTGGTTTCAGTAAACCAGTGTGGTGGCGTTCAGACCCCACCATTGCCTATTGCCTTTTGACTCGGCTGTCCGTTCCCCACCCCACCCGTGTGTGCACTCTCTGGTCATCTAGTGGTATAGATGGACTCAAAACTTGATTCTTTACAGTACTGATCAGTTTTAGAACAATTAGCTGGGTCCTTAGTATGTGTTCAGAGGGGTTAGCAAGTTTTATTAGTTTGACCGAGTCGGGGTCTCACTCTATAATCTCTAACTATATATAAATGTCCAGCTTGCCTTTGGCTTGTAGGTGAGCCTCCTGCCTCAGCCTCCTGATGTCGTTTAATACTATAATAAATAAATAGATTTCTTAGGGCATGGCACTAAGGAGTCAGAGGCAGGTGGGTCTCTGTAAATTCAAGGCCAGCCTGATCTACATAGTGAGATCCTGTCTCAAAAACAAAAACAAAAACACATGGATTTCAACATATTTAATAAGTTCGCACACCTTTAATCC